TCTGCTTTTCAAGGCATTCTTCTCTTTACTGGATTTTTATGTCTCTCTTATTGTTTGACCTACTCTGTTTTTTAAAGTGTTATTTTCTTCAGCATTTTTTTGTGCCTCTTTTACCAAGCTGTTGACTCTTTTTTCATGATTTTCTTGCATCACTCTTACTTCTCTTCCCAATTTTTTCCTCTACCTCTCTTACTTGATTTTTAAAATCCTTTTTGAGCTCATCCATGGCCTGAAGCCAATCCATATTTTTTCTTTGAGATGCTTTGGATGCAGAAATTTTGACTTTGTTGTCTTCTTCTGAGTGTGTGTTTTGATCTTCCTTGTCATCATAATAACTTTCAACAGCCAGAATTTTTTTCTGTTGTTTGCTCATTTCTCAGTCTATTTCTTTTCTTTTCTTTTCTTTTTTGATGAGGCAATCAGGGTTAAGTGACTTGCCCAGGGTCACACAGCTAGTAAGTGTCAAGTGTAAGTGAACTCAGGTCCTCCTGACTCCAAGGTCAGAGCTCTATCCACTGTGCCACCTAGCTGCCCCTCTCAGTCTATTTCTTGACTTTTAACTCTTTGCTACAGTGGGGCTCTGCTTCCCAAGTGGAGGGGGCATTGTCTCAAGCTTTAGGTTTTTTTGTGCAGCTGTTTTCAGGGGTAATTCTGGGGACCTGTAAGTTTTGGGCTCTTGCAAGGTGGTATGATTCAGAGAGAGGTGTGTTTACTACTCTCCTGTACTGTGCACCGGTTTGTAGAATGACCCCAAGCACTCTTTTCCACCCTGGAACTGTGACCAGGGTCCCTGCTCCTCTCTGGCCCCAAGCTCTGCTGTGCCAGTGCTCCTCCTCGCACTGGGACTAAGACCCAGGAATGCGACTCAGATCCAAGAATAGGCAACGCAGCAGAGCTCTGCCCCTGATGCCAGCCAAGGGACCCTTGTCATCTCCTGGTCAGTTGTTTGACCCCCTTACCATTTGTGGGCTGAGAGGCCTGGAAACTGCCACTGCTGCCACTGATTCAGTCGCCCCAAGGCCTGCTCCTGATATGCTGGGGTCCGCTCTCTGCTGCTACGGCCTGCACTGGACTGTGGGACTCTCTCACCCTGGTGTGACAGACCTTTCCTGCCGGCCTTCCAAGTTGTCTTGGGCTGGAAATTTGTTTCCCTTTTTTTGTGGGTTATGCTGCTCTAGAATTTATTTTAGAGTCACTATTTAAAGGTATTTGGAGGAGTTTGGGGGAGAGCTCAGGTGAGTCCCTGCCTTTACTCCACCATCTTAGCGCCTCCTCAGTTAGAGGCTCTTAAAATAAGGTCCACGAACTTGTTTAAAAATTTTCTTTTGATAATTATATTTCAGTATCATACAATTCTTTGTAAGCCTATGTATTTTATTTTATGTATTTAAAAACACACTGAGAAAGGATGTGTAGGCTTCACCAGACTGCCAAAGGGGTCTAAAGACAAAAACAACTGAAGAACCCCAGCTCTAGGTATGGGGACACACTGGAAGCATAGCAGAGCCGTGACAAAAAGCAGGGTATTAGGAAAGTTAATAATCAATCTGGAGCTGCTGCTGCTTCTCAAACCATCAGAGCACATTATCAGAAGGCACTTTAAAGAGGATCCAGCCATGAGATCACGGACCACAGATTTAGGGCTGGAAGGGACCTCAGAGGTCACCTAGTCTGACCCTCTTATTTTACCAGTGAGGAAACTGAGGCCCAGAGATGTTAAGTGACTTAACTGAGATCACTGGACCTGGAATCAGAAAGAACAGAATTCAAATCTAGCCTCGGATGCTTACTAGCTGTGTGACCTTGGGTAAGTCACTTAACAACTGTCCCAATTTTCTCATCTGTAAAATGGGAATAATAATAGCACCTACATCCCAGAGTTGTTGTGAGGATCAAATGAGATAATATTTTGTAAAGCATTTTGCAGATCTTAAGGCAGTTATGTATCTGCTGCTATTATTATACTTCTTGTCTCTTATACTGATGCCCACAAAACAATTAGCAGGGTATTGCCAGTGAAATGCTAAATATGGTTCTATAAAACAAGTGGCACAGAAAATAAGATCTGTGCATATTTGGAAAGGGTGGAGATCAATATGGACTTAGGTAGCAGGCATCCTGGGAGAGATGGGACTTAATGACTACAAGAAAGCTCAGGGTGGTTATAAGGAAGGATATTTGAAAAGATTTGGGGGTCCTTAGAGATCACTTCATCCAGCCCCTTACTTTATGGAGATGAAAGCTGAAGCCCACAGAGCTTAAATGGGATCATAGACTCATAAATCTAGAGCTGGAAGGGACCTCAGAGACACCCCCCCCCCATTTTTACAGATGAGGAAACTGAGGCCCAGAGAGAAAGCTACTTGTCTAAGGCCACAGATGGGTAAACAGCAGTGCCAGGAGTTGAATTCAGGTCTCCTGACTAAATAACTGAGCCTTTTCCTGGTGTTTCCAGTATCACCAGACTGCCTCCACCATTGTGTTTCCACGAAACTGCAAAGGAAGACACACTACTCAAATGTTCCAAGGAGAAACTGCTCTGTCCCTGACAGGGTAATTCTGGCCAAAGGAAGTAAGCAACGTTGGTGGAAAGAGGACCTCTCTGGGACACAGATGTCCTGTTCTATCCACTGCTCAGCCCGAGTGATCCCCAGGCAAGTCACTGTGCCTCAGTTTCTCCCTTTGTGACACAGGGGCAAACCTTATCTTCTCACCTCCTGTACTGAGGCTGCTTATTGAAGCATTGTTATTGGAAAGGATTTCTAGTCTTTGTCTGCTTTACCCCAGGGGCTCTGCCCTGCCCCAGTCCTCAGCCCCCTGACAAAGCAACGAGGAATTCAACACAACCTTCCACCCTCTCCTAGCTCTCACCTCCATGAGGAGAGAGGTGGCCCTGAGCTAAAGAATGTATTAAGTACAGGAACTGTTCCAGCTGAGCACCAGCCCCGTACACCCGAGGCCCCCATCTGTCACCATTCATTTCCACTGGGAGCCCACAGTTGGCTCTGACAGCTCCCTGGCCCGTTTCTCCCAGGCCTCTAGCTCCAGGGAACAGATCAAAAGCCAGTTTCTGTCTTCAGCTCCATCCCTGTGGGCAGTTGGGCAGGGCTGCCTCCTTTGTGCAAAGGGCTCCACCCGGGGCGTGTCTGCAGAAAGGCAATCCATCTCTCAGAGAGAACATGAAATGAGGCCATGGAGAAGGAGCTGGCCCAGCGCTCCGCCCGAGACTGGGTGGTTTGCTTTTGGTTTTGAGTGAGTCTGTCCTGGCCCCACACATTTGTCTTCCACACAACCCAAGACAGTAGTTTACTCTGTTTCTCTGCCTTCACACAAGAACAATCCAAGTTGTCATCCCACTGTGTGTAACAGTAGGTACTTAATGAATGCTTACTGATTGGAAACACTGTGCTGTCAGGCTATGTGTGCAGACATCAAACCCTGGAAAACTACAGAACCTCCTAGACTAGGATCCATCCCTATCCACAGGTTATAGGATCATCGATTTCCGGCTGGAAGGGACCTCAAAGGCCATTTAATCCAACAGTCTTACAGTGGGGGAAACTGAGGCCCAGAGAGCTTAAGTTCATAGGATTCAAGATCTGGAGCTTTAAGGTAACTTAGAAGCCACTGAATCCAACCTCTGTTACATAGAGGCCTATTGATTCAAGGCTGAAAGGGACTTTAGGGGCCATCTCGCCCAACCCCCTCATTCATTCATTCAATCATTCATTCATTTATTGGTGAGGCAGTTGGGGTTAAGTGATTTGCCCAGAGTCACACAGCTAGTGAGTGTTATGTATCTGAGGCCAGATTTGTCCTCCTGACTCCAGGGCTAGTGCTCTATCCACTGCGCCACCTAGCTGTGCCACCCAATCCCCTCCTTTAGAGAAGAAGAAACTGCAGTCCATGGAACCAGAGTAGCCTGGGATTTGAATGCAGCTCCAGGTTCTGTGATCTTTCCCTGGACGTGTGCAAGGCTCCTCTGAAAGCCCTAACATGGTGGCCCTCAACCTGTGAGACGCAGACACCTGGGGGGTCTGAAGGGAACAGAAGAAGGGATGAGATACTTGTGGGGGGCCCCGAAGATCCAGACGTCCAATTTCTGAAAGCTGCCAAACAGCCCCAGCCATCTCGTTAAATGACTCAGTATAATAAATAAGTAAACGTCCAAGGATGAATAAAGAATTGTCTCACACCACACACGGATTCCTATTTATCAAACATAGGTAGATGCTGCTATGATTAATAAAACATACACTCAGTTAAAAGCCTTGCTGAATTTACAGTAGCTTTGTATTACCCTCTGTTTTTTTTGATCAACGCATCCTAACAGGACAGCTATCACCATGCCGAGATCGCCATGTGATGCTTTGACGGTATAATGGGCCCACGTTACCATCTCCAAGCAATCGCTATTGGGGAGTGAGGCAGAGTTGGGGGGGGTGGGGTAACTTCTTAGAATTCTAGGATCCAGAGTTGGAAGGGTCTCAGAGCCCACCTGGTCTAATTCCCTCATTGCACAGATGAGGGAACTGAGGTCCAGACCTGCTCAGCATCACCCAGGGAAATGACAGGAGAGGAATATGAATCTGGGTCTAAAGCTCCTTCCCCAGTATCATACTCTACCTCTTCACAACAATCAGGGACATGCCTTTTAATATCACCTGTCACTAAACTAAGGTCAGTTTGACCTGGAGGCAGAGTGTGTAATGCCCCTCACCGCAGAGTCTGAAATCCCCTTATTAGATCTTCCATCACCGGATGGAAGATTCCATTAGATGAGATTCTGCCATTAGCTATTTATTCTCTTGTGCGACGCCTTTCAGAATGGGAAACAATCCAGTAACTCTTGCACCAACCAATCTCCAGTGTCCCCTGTGTGCCCTGCTCTGGGAGGGCCCTGGACGCAGATGGCTCTGTGGGGTCCCCTAGAAGGGGTTCCACTGGCTGGGGAATGGTGGCTCGGGCTCCCCAAAGGTGTGTTAGCTGGGGTCACTTACCATCAAAGTTACGAGCTGAGTGCTGAGCATCACCTGCATGGAACGGCTGGTCTCCCGGAGGGCCCCCTCCAACTCGCTGCGACTCCGGTTGGCAAAGTTCTCCTCCATCTCACTGGTGCAGCAGGTGTAGCCCTGTGGGCAGATCCTCAGGTGCTCACCTGGAAAAGGGGAAAACAGAGATGAGCAGGGCAGCTGAATGGTTGCAGGGCTGGGGGACAGTGGCTGAGCTGGTCTGTGGACAGTTCTCTGACTGCACATTACAAAGACAGGCACAGGAGTGATTGGGGGGCTGGAGATGGGCTGCAGGGACGGAACGCTCTGGACCGGAGGAGCTGAGGGGCACTGGACCTTGGGGGCCATACCCTCAGAGTCCAACGTGCCAGAGGACAGCCAGGGGATGTGGAAGAGGCAGCTGCTGGGGGATGACACAATACCCGGGTATGATGCCTCAAAGGTGATCAAAAGAGTCAACCAATCCACAAACATTTATAGGGGCCTAGTATGTGCCAGGCCCTGCGGGTACTAGAGACAGAGACAGCAGAGTCCCTGACCTCAGGGAGTTTATATTCTAACGGCGGACACAATCTATACCTAGTATACACAATGACTGCAAAGTAGTTTTGGGAAGGAGGCTGCCGGGAGCTTGGGGATCAGGGAAGGTTCTTTGGGCCTCAGTTTCCTCATCAGCAAAATAAGAGGGTGAACTTGCTGGCCCCTGAGGTCCCTTCTAGAGCTACAAGATCGAATCCTAAGCCCCTAGAAGCTGGTACTTGAACTGAGATTGAAGGGAGCCAGGGAAGCTGAGTGTTGGAGATAAGGGGATGAGGTGTTCTAGGCATGGGGGGACAGCCAGAGCAAAGGAAGTACAGGAACAGGACATGGAGGGTCATGGGTAACAAGCAGGTCAGCACAGTGGAACCACAGAGTGAATTAAGAATAATGTGTAAGAAGACTAGAAAGGTATTAAGAGACCTGGTTAAAGAGACCACCAAATAGGGAGGAAAGTAGGGGGCATGGGTCCCCCAAGGTTTTAATTTGGTCTTGAATACTAACAACCTTTGAGACCCAAATCCCAAGTTTCCTCATACATCCATTCATGTTGAGTAAGTTCCCCTTCTACCTCGCATCTTGTGATCGCCTCGAGTTAGAGGCAAGGAGAGGGATTATAAGAGCAGAGAAAAGGAAGATGGCAGTGCACATCGAATTCAGAACAGGGAGAGATGGTGGGTGATCACTGGGCACTGTGTCCCAAACCTGTCCAGGGAACAAGGGCCTCTCATCCGAGATATTGGGTCCTGGGTGTTTGGTCTGGAACATCCAAAATGTGAAGGACCATTTGACGGGTTACCATGGCTTGACAGAAATAGAACAAGATTCTAGATGTTGGGACCTTTGAGATCCTCTGGCCTAGGATCTTTGTTTTGCACATGGAGAAGCTGAGGCCAGGAGAAGTTAAACCCAGTTAAGAAGTAAGCATACTAGACTTGGAAATGACAGACTTGGGTTTGAATCCAAGCACTGATCCTAGCTGTATGAACTTTGGCAAATCACTACTTCTCTGGGACTCAGTTTCCTCAACTGTAAAATCTGGGGATTGGATTAGCTGAGCTCTAAACTCCCTATCAGTTCTAAACTCCATGATCCTTAGTTCCCAAAGCATCCACTCTGGCAGGAAGGGCTGTTTAATACCAATCTTTCCACCAGTTCACATTGTTAGATTTAGAGGTGACGTTTCTCAGATTTTTTCCTTGAAAACTACATTTTCTTGGTACTTTATGGAACTCAAGACAGAAGTTGGGGTTCACATATGTGGGAACCTTGGACCAGGACAGGGTGCTCCTGTTATGAGAAGGAATTGAAATTCATTGTCCTGGTCCTTCAACATGAATGTCACCCACCTCGGCCAGGCACAGGATGGCTGTACTGGAAGGCCTGAGGTACTTCAGCTGAAAAGGCAACAGAAACCCCCAGGCAACTGTCAGAGCAACTGCTGCTAGGGACCCTTCCTAGCAGTGAAAAATGTGAACTCCCAAGGGCTCTTTAGCTCTCTGGGGGACTGACCAGTCTACTCAGCCACGAGCCCACCTTATTCCTTGATGCTTTGCCCAAGGGCGACATGAACCAGGGGCCCAAGACTAGCCAGCCCTAGTGGGTTAGGGATCAATGACGTCATCAGGGAGGGTCTGGAGCCAATGAGCTCCCTATAGGGACTTGGCCACATGGGGAGGGAAGGCCCTCTTCCTTCACATTCACTCTCCCAGTGATTTCATTGTCTCCCATGGGTTCAATTATCACCTCTATGCAGATGACTCTCACACACCGGGTCATAAAAACTGGAGCTAGGAAGGATCTCGGAGGCCGTGTATTCCAATCCCCCACTTTACAGATTTCACAGCCCTAATCTCATCCCTGAATGTCAGACCTGCATCTCCAATCGACTGCTGGGCTTTGATTTTCATCTGCAAGTTCCAACAGCTTGTCCGACTGAAAATCTGGACAATGGAACTCATTGTCTTTCCCGTCAAAGTCGCTTGCTTTTTCTCCATATTTTCTCTTTTTGTTTATGATGCCACCATCCTCCTGGGCACCCAAGTTCAAACCCTCAAAGTCACTTTTTCCTTCTTTCTGCCTTTTCCCATGGGTTGGCCCATCCTGTTGATCCCACCTGCACAAACCTTCCCATCGGTCCCCTTCTTGGCCCTCCATTGCTGTCACTTGATAGGTCCCCATCGGCCCACCTTGGACCGCTGCATTTGTCCTCCTAACTGGTCTCCTTACTTCCAATCTCCATAGATTATAACCTAAGTTTTATATATATATATGTATATATATATATAGTCAATTTAATTTTATTCAACAAATCTGCTCTCCCTCTACCCCTTCTAAGTGCACTTCCTCTAAGGCAAAGATTATTAATGTGGGGTCTGTGCACTCGTCTTGAAAAACAGTTCGATAATTGTACTTCCAAGCAATTCATTTCCTTTGTAAACTCACCTATTTTATTTTATGCACTTACAAACACTTTTCTGAGACGGGGTGCACAGCCTTCACCAAAGAGCCCAAGAAGCGCATGACATGACGAGAGTGAAGAATCCTGGGCGCTCAGGTGACTTTCCTTTTTCACTGTCTCATAGGTTGGACATAGTCACTGACATGCTGTCTTTCCCCTTTGAATGTGAGCTCTGTGAGGCTGGGGACCACATCCTCACCTCAGTATCCTGGGCGGTGACACAGTACAAGCATTAATGAATGCTTATTGACTGTCTCATGAGGTTATTCTGGCTGCTGAGTAAAGGACAGATGGGAGACTAGAGACACTGGGGACATGGGGACCAGTTAAGTGACATTGTCTCCCTGCTCAAAAACCTTCCATATTGTCTATAACTGCCATACTGCCTACAACCTCCATATTGCTTATAGGAAAGAATTTGAATTCAGCCTGGCATTCAGAGCTTTCTCGAATCCAGGAGCTAGAAGGGGATTCACAGATCATCTGGTTTAACGCTCTCATTTAACAGTCAAGGAAACTGAAGCCCAAGGAGGTAAAGTCATACAGGTAGTAAGTAGGATTTGAACCCAGGCCTCTGACTTGCAGGGCAACAGAAGGGGCCTGGGAGCCCAGGTTTCCCGATTCTAAATCTAGTTCTCATTCTGCCATACCATGCTGTCTCTTTAGATGTCTTAGCTGTACACTTAATAGTGCTGATATGAAATATTAATTTGAATCCACCATTTAATGCAAAAAAAATTTTTTTAAGGGAAAAAGGACCAGGCATTATTCTTGCCTCAAGAAAACTGTGAGGGGGTGCCTAAGCTCAGGCCCTACCAGAGTGAGAGTCGAGGACAAGTGGGCCCAGGCCCCATCCCCATCCCAGGCTCTTCTCCCCAGCCCTCTCATGCTGGCCCCCACCCACCCATGCTGCTGGGTAGCAGCTACTCATCGAAGGACTGGTGATGCCTGACCTGCCATGTGCATCCTGTTTATACCCTGGCCAAAGGATCCACCTTGCCGATCGGCAGGCTAATACAGAGGTCTGTTTGCTGGCCTCCAGCTGGCCATCCCACGGGCCACCAGCCTCCAAACCCAAGGTCCAAACCGCATGTGAGATGCACCTCCCCATCCCCAGCAGCCCCCACTTGTCAAGCAGTATCAAGAGCAAGGCGGTGGTCAGCCGGGTAACATGTAACGAGTGGGCCCAGCACGGAGGCTGAGTCAGTGTTTCCATCATTAACTCTCATTCTAGGGAACAGCCGAGGTGGGGGAGGCCCCTAGAACCAGCCATAACGAGGCATTTCAGGCCATAATTTGGCAGGAACAGCTCTGAAAGGAGGAAGGGGAGTTATTTTAATAGTAAAAACATGATGAAAAAGTAAAGAGAAACAGAAGATTGGCAGCTGGGGGAAACTATTCTGATCCTGTTAATTCTGCTGGGCCCCATGGAGCTGCCCTGATGGAGGGGAAGCCCCAAAAGTCACACTGAAAGATCCTTCATGGGGACAGCTCTGAGATCATGGCACTGAAGGGTGGTAGGGGAGGAGAGAGGAAGGAAAAGGGGAGGGATAAAAGAGGGGAAGGGGGAGGGAGAAGGGTCAGGCTTCAGCACAGATAATGCTAGAAAACCTGGCTCTGGATCTATGAGCTTACAACCTCCCTGGCCTCAGTTTCCTCATCTGTAAAATGAAGGAGGTAGACTTAGAAGGTCCCTAAGGTCTCTCCACCTTTAAAATCTACAATCCTGTGTGATTCTACCTATGCCAAGGATCACGGAGCCATAGGTTGAGAGGTGAATGGACGTCAAAGACAATCTAGTCTAACTATGTCATTTTACGGATGAGAAAACTGAGGCCCAGAGAAATGCAGTGGTGCTTGTCAGAGCTTTGGCATGTGATGAGGCACGGCTATGAAGAGAAGAAATAGGGTTCTCAGTGGTGTTGGCTTCAAACACGTCCCTCTCCGGGGCCTGGCCAGGACAAGAAATTAACCAGTTCACTCTAGTGCCTCAGGATCTGAAGTGACCACAGACAATCAGGGCCTTGGCTATGACCAACGGCGGGCTGAACGTACGGATGAAAAGTAGCAGGTAAAAGAAATCCCTCAACCCACCAGCCTATGGTATAGAGGAAAGGGTCTAAGGCTTTGTGTGACCATGGGCTTCATCATCTCTCTGGACTCCCAAATGCCCTCACCTGTGAAATGGGGAGGATGATACATGTACTGTCTACTGCACAGGGTTTGTTGTAAAGAAGACCTGACGGGATGCTGACCAACTCAGAATCGTTCATTCATTCATCAGAAACAATCATTGAGCACTGGGGCACCCAGGCTTGGCAGGCTGGAGAGGGAAGGGGACATACAGAGATGAATAAGTGGGTCACGTCCCCTATTCTCACATGGCTTGCAAATGAGTAGGAGGCTGGGGGGGAATAAGACATGCACGTCTCTGACCATGATACCAGGGAGAAGGTAGTTAGGTACCAAAGGAAGTGCTAAGAGGAGGCCAGAGAACAGAGGCTGGGGGCTAGGAGTGAAGAATGAGGATGCTGTCATCTTTACAGTGCTTAATAAATAAACCCTTGGGGATCTGCTGATTGATAAGCTCCCATAGATACAAGTTTTGGAAAATGTTTTCCTTTATAATAACACAAGCATCATGATCCTCACTTTGCAGGTGAGGAAACTGAGTGTCAGAAAAATGAAGTTCCTGGTCCGTGGTTACCCAGTGCAATGTCTGGCTTCTCCTCCTGACCTCCCCCCACTCTCTATATCACATCACACCGGCAGGCAGAAATTCTAAGCTTCAGGGACAGGAGGGTCAAAGCCTGGGAGGTGGGACAGTGAAAGGCCCTGGGAGGGACAGAGTTTGTCATTCTTTGGAGTTGGAGATGAAAAACAGTAATAACCACAAAACCAAACAAACAATAGGACCCAAAGGGACATACAGGGAAATCCACTATTTGCATAAACAGAAGACAATTTACAAGGGAATCAATATTCATTTAAGCAAATAACAGAGCTCTGGGACCTGTGGGAGGAGGGAGGCTATCTCTGCCCATTTAGGCAAAAAACCCAAATAGCTTCCAAAGGAAAAGAACTAAGGTATGAAATTCTTCCTCAACACAAAAACTGGCAATGACCCGTATTTAGATTAAGAAAACCATCCCCATAAGTACAGGATGAAAGAAGCAGGGTCGGAAAGACTAGTTTAACAGCAGTCTCTGTGAAAAAGACCTAAGGTTTCTAGTGGACCACAAGACGGCAGTGCTGATAGTATGATCTGGTAGTCCCACAGTCCAAGAGTCCGGACCACAGAAAGGGGTCATTCTATTGCACTCTGCACTGGCCAGACCATGTCTAGAATGCTTTGTGCAGTCTACGTGATGTTTTGAGAGCACCATTTCCAAACCAGAGTATAACTTCCTAGGGAAGGTTGGGTAAAGCATTTACCCTATCTGAGCCTCAGTTCTTCATCTGTAAAAAATGACAGTTCGCAGGATCACTGACTTCGATCTGGATTGTTGAGTCCACCCCTTTCTTTTACAGATGAACTTAAGCTTAGTAGATAGGAAGAGACTGCCCCAAAGTCTCATGCAAGAGTTACAGCCATGTAACCTCTCTGTGCGCCTCAGTTTCCCCACCTGTAAAGTGAGGGCTGGACTAGATGGCCTTTGAGATCCATTCCAGCTCTAGTTTGTGATTCCATGACTGATAACACACCAAGGCAGGAAGATTAGGGGAGCCCTGGCTTGTGTGGCCGGTCTTTCAACATCCTCGGAAAATTCAGACCCTTAATTCCTCACCCCGTGGCCACAGAACTGGAGTGAGCTACTCATTAGCTTTGGGGAGAGAGAGACTAAATTCAGTCCTTCCTTTATAGCTCGCTGGGATTCCAACCCTAAAGCAGGAAGATATCTTCCCAAACAGATGGTCTGTAAAAGCCAAGCAAACATCCCTGTGGGCTAATGAGTGAAATACGCCCTGCTGGAGGCTGCACCATTTTAACACATTCTCCATTTAGATTTCTTTTTTCCTCTGTTTTTTTTGGACTGGACTTTTGGTTTGATTAGTATAGGGAACTCTCCCAGAACAAATGCCCTCTACCTATGCAAATGGGCACCTGCTTTGCAGCTTCTGGTCTCAAAGAGTTGCCTTAGGAGGCAGCTGGTGGCACAGCAGATAGAACACTGAGTCCAGAGTCCGGAAAACCTGAATTCAAATCTTGCCTCAGGTACTTCCTAGCTATCTGACCCTGGACAAGTCATTTAATCTGTTGGCCTTAGTTTCCTCCTCCATAAAATGGGGATAATAATAGCACCTACCTCCTGAGGTTCTTGTGAGGATTCAGTAAGACGTGCCTGGCACATAGAAAGTACATACAAATGCTTGTTGAATGCAGGCATTTCCTGCAGACAGGACACGCAGCTGCCTACATGGCAGGATTTCAGGGGTCCTGGGATGACCCTACTAATGTCAGAAAATCCAAGGTTTAGATTTTTAAGCTAAACTTTTTTTTTTTTTTTGGTGAGGCAATCGACGTTAAGTGACTTGCCCAGGGTCACACAGCTAGTAAGTGTCAAGTGTCTGAGGTCAGATTTGAACTCAGGTCCTCCCAACTCCAAGGTCAGAGCTCTATCCACTGCGTCACCTAGCTGCCCCTTAAGCTAAATATTTTGATTCCTCCTAGAATACCAATTCCCTATGAGGCAGGTTGACTGGCCTTGGATTCTGCTTT